ATTACATATCCAGTAGCGTCACCATTTTGTAGTATTTTGCGCTTTATATTTCTAGCATCTCACGAAGATATAAATTCCACATTGACTCTGTTAAACCTTTTATAATATAAATTTTGAATAAGTTTGGCGATTTTTTCCACACTGTTTTAATAATCCCGTGTTTATACTTAGTCTTCACCATTACGCCGTTTCATGTTGAATCCGCAGTGTTTTCAAATGTGGGTCAATTTTGTGATTGATAAATAATGTATGAGATATTGAAGAACGCGCTTAGTGACTCACCTTGTATATTAATACTTAATTTAAAAACATAAACATATTTTGTAGTCGAGTAGTCTGCTAATTGCCTTTTGACACACTAAAATTTGTTTATAATCCGTTACAATACGGTACGATTTCATTATTACACGATTTATAGTACCATAAAGTGATCTCATGGAAACAAAATAGAACACTAGGTATTTTTCAGGAGACATTGAAATTGTTTGAAAAAACGTCATAGCAACCAATATGAATTGTTATTTGTATCTTTATTAAACTGAATATAAAATTGAGATAAAAAATTGGAATTGAGGTTCCATTATAAAGCATATTAACGATAATGAATGATACTACTGTCACTACTGTTATTATATTAAACTTTGTTGTGGAGGCTAACATTTATCAATATATTTTTTTAATATAACAAAATAATTTATGTCGTTATTTCAAAAAATACAAAAGAATTTCATTTTGATTATTACTTTTCGACTTTTCCACGGACGGGCAAGATAACAGTCAAACCCCTGCCGCTCTTAAGCGACAGATAGGCGGGATGCATCCATCATTCATCAGCCAATCAGGAGCATCGATCGTTATAGATATTCTGAAAACGGCCGGTCTGCGTTGAAATGGGTCTTACAATAAAATGGTTTAGTCTTCGTACATTTGACAGATTTCCCATCTCACGCAAAAACACTCTGTGCTAAAACTTTTTATAAGTTTTACTTTTTGCCCGATTACATTTTCTGAGAAAACTTTCTATGTAATACTCGTTCTGTCAAAAAACATTTTTGTAAAATTTGTTTTAGTCATTTTTATTCTGCTCCTGAAACACCCTCCCAAAGGGTGATTTTGCCAATTGTCAATAAACATAACATCCTGAATTATTTTTGGAGTTTCTTTTACCGCATTCAAAAGGGAATGTCAAAATTTAATTTTAAAGTGTTAGATTATTTGTGCTGTTTGTTATTACTGTATTGCTTAATTGGCGTATAATAAAGTATTATTATTATTATTATTATTATTATCATTTTCATCGATTTCTTCCCAACAAGTTTGAATTCGCTCAGATAATGGACCCTTTTTCTGCAAGCAAAGTGAGTAGACATTATATAAATTCCAATGATACAGAGTGAGACAACATCGCGCAGGCGATGTCAGATTTTTGGAGCGCCAAGTTAAAATTAACCAATGAGCGACAGATTACGCATGTGTAGCCGGTTGCATTCTGTCAAAGCGGTTTGTTGTCACAGGGCTTTGGTCTGCTGCCGGAGTGCCGGATACTATTTCCAACGTGGTTTTGAAGATGCGTGCGCACGGAAAGTCACTAAGGAAGTTTTATGATCTTACAGGAAAAGGGTCAATTATCAACAGTTTGTGGTTTAAATATCTTGCAGAATGAAATTGATTCGCTCTTAAATGATTTTTTAGGATACTGCTTTAATAACTAACGTTTACATTGTTACAAATGAGTGCAGTAGCTAAAATTTACCAGCCTAGGCCAGTAGTAGTTGACAACGGCCGGTTCAAATTAATTTGACAATAAACATTTAACAAATTTATTATCTGAACAAACAATTTTACTTACTTATACATATACAGGGTAACTGCGAAATATGTGCAAAAACCCCCATGAACCACCCTCGATACGAAGGCACTGAGGCACCTTGTAAACAGAGTTGGAAAAACGTTCGAATAAAAAGGACGTCAACACTTTCAGTTTCAATTAAAAGTAAAACTGACTCTTTGCTGCTTATCATTCATTCATGGAATTCATTCTCGTTAAAGGTCAGTAAGTTTCATGATGATCGACTTTTGATTCTGACGGATGTTTGGTCCTTGCCATAACGATTTTACATTCTTTATTGGAACAAAATAAGAGTAACTTAGAATGCTACTACCTTTTTACAAGAAATGTTCAAAATTTTGCCCTTGACTAGCAATACAGGCGTCAGAGCGTCGCAAGATGTTTGTTAATAGGTAAAAAAACACCGCAGTAGCGGCTGCCACTTTCACTTGTTGAAGCTCTTCGATTATTTCTGGACACTGTTGATTTCCACAAACGAATTGTTTCATCCAACCAATACACATTTCTCGAAAACCGTCTCTTGAAATCGTACTTGTTGACGACTATGTGAAGTTCCATCGGAGAAAAAGTGAGTTACACAACGTGGACAATCAGTGGACTCCAAACCGTGCACTTTGTCAACATGGTATGGTCGTGACCGTGTACTTTTAATGTAGGATGCACTACAAGCTGCGAAAATCCAATTTCTTCTTTCTGTCCCATCACGACCACGATCGTGAGTTTGAGGTTGAAGGACCATGATCTCGGAGATGCTGTACCACTGACGTAAATGTTCGCGCATATGGAATCGCGCGATGTGGAAAGAGTTTGATCCACAATTCGCGAGCCAAGCTTGAGTTCCCATCCGCCACCCCATACAGCATTACCATGTCGGCCCGCTCTGAATTTATAAAATTCACCATTGTCAAACACAACCGAACACACCCAGCTACGGCAAGTAACTGATACACTACTGTCCTTATCGTCTTTTTCCACTAGTTTTTTGGTTCTTAAACTTCGTCGCTGTGTGCCATTCATTGTAGTAATGGTGTAGGTCAAGAAACACTACCAGCGGCGTGTGTAACAATTTATATGTAATTTCAAATAATTTTTTCTCGACACTGCTACCACTTAGGACCGTGAATTTTATACAGTGTCATACTTGTATCGTGAGCTATTCCCCATTTTTTTTTTTTTGCACATATTTCGCAGTCAGGCTGTATACAAAAATTGCACCCGTTGTTAGCATTACCTAATTTTTATAGTCTCCGACGCGTGGAGGGGTAATGTCGACTTTTTAATGGACACACGTGCGCTTCGCGCCCTGCACCCCATTATAAACATACTCCTAAACGTGGAACTTCTTGCTCCGTGGATCATTTAGTTATTGGAATTTGTGCGAATGAAACTGTGTATTTGGTTGCCTACACTTTGCATAAATAACAGTTACGAACAATAAATATTTTTTATATTATATACCGACGTACTCGCGCCTAGATGGCTTGCGCCAAAGTGTCCCTGCGCCAAGTCGGCCGCGCCAAATAGACCCATTCCGCCAATTACCATACCGATGCACTCTGCATGGGAAAACTGCACCATAAACCGATTTCAACGCCTGCTCGATGATGACTAGTTATTTTCGTGTTTTCCACGTTGCGATTAAAAAAGTGCCTAATAAAGTCACTTTTTTGGTTCTTAATCCGAGTCGCTCTGCCCCATTCATTCTAGTAATCATGTAGGTCACGAAACATTACCAGCGGCGCGTATAACAATTTATATTTCATTTCAAATAATTTTTTCTAGACACTGCTACCACTTAGGACCGTGAATTTTACGCAATGACATACTCGTATTGTGAGCTATTCCCCATTTTTTTTGCATGTATTTCGTAGTCACCTTGTATAGTAAGTCAATAATTAGTACCTGCCTAATAAAATATGTTTATATAATTTTCAAAGTGTAGATCGTGTGGATGTTTTGAAATTAAGAATTTTGATTGAATTGTAAGTAATTAAAATGAAACTAGTGCAAGTACAAATCTATTAATAAATTACCGTATAAACTCGCTGACTAATTTTAATTGTATTGTATGTATGTAAAGTGAGGTTATTTCCGTTTTTCCTTCTTATTTTTAAAAGGAAATAAAACTTGAATTGTTTCTCTGTACACAACAGTTTTTATTAAATTTTTTTTCAAGTACTTAATCTAATTACTAATCCTACCTGTAAACAACAAAGAAACAACGTTCAATGTTATTATTAACGCGCGGAATTGTATCTCATACGCTAGATCCAGTGATGTTGCGGCGATAGTTTGATTAGAAATATATTTTTCTTTTGGACTATATCAACATAATATAACATTTCAAGATCACAAATCTGTGGTCCTGTGGTTGAAAAATTAAAAAGGGCATCGAGTATTATTATTTGAAGTAATATAGAAGTAGTTTTTTTACTAGCTGTAAACACTCCTAGCGACGCACTGGCTACGACCTTGTGGACCAGATCAAAGCGTCCCCGCTACTCGCCGTAAAACACACATTACTTCAACTGGGGGATTGCAGCGGTGAGATAGCATCCCGCGTACTGGTTATTATTCACCCTATTTTACATTATTACATGAAATCTGACTTGCTTCGTCACTCATTGCCACATGCAATAATAAGAATTAATCATCGCATTCAGAGATCTAACTTACCGACCTAATTGCGCGTTAGATTCAATAAGAGTGAGGATACTTAATCCGTATCCTTACATGTATGTTCTTAAAACTGCTAGTTTTTGGTGTTTTGCAGTCTATTTTAATTCAGAAGAGATATTATTGTAATAAATGATCGGTTACCATGGTAAAAATATCTTCCACTTGCGCGATTTTAAAGACAGGTGTACGCAACGTTAATAGCAGAACTGTACACGTTTCTATTATTATGAACGTGAAACATGTGCACTCTTTTGCTAACGACATACAAGAATAAAACGGTGGTGTCTGACAAAAACTCCATACATGTTTAGCTCTGATCATGTCGAAAAAGAATTAATATCATAAAATTCAAATCTTCTTTGCAAGTGAAATAATTTGAAAAACCAAATCGTAGATGCAGTTTGTTTGACAGCGGCGTTAATTAAAAATTTTCAATGTTAATATAGAAAATGTAACTTACGTTTTATTGCAGATGGAAAACGAACACTGCGTGCTGCTGGCATTACCTTTTGGACGCGATCATATCGATGTAGTTAATCAAACGACAGCGTTGACCGACGATTTCATCACTTACCTACAACAAAAACAAGCTATCGGTATTGTGAACGTTGCCGCTGCTGGAACTACTCAACCAGTAAGTTTCTGAAATTTAATTGATTGATAGATTTTTATATCGTTTTCTTCCAGCCGGCTTACGTCGTGCACATTTTCCCTTCGTGCGACTTCGTTAATGAAAATCTGCGTACGATAACACCACATCTGCGTATGACAATGCCGGATCTGCTCGAAAGAGTGGCAGACATCCCCCATTTACTTATTGTCATAACTACGGTGTGATAGCATAATTTCATCGATGTGACTGTTGCATACCTATATTTGAATATTTAATTTTCAACTACATTGTAACACTTTGGTGTGCAAGATATTCGGTACAATATTTCTTGTCCCAAATCTTGTACTAAATAGTGCATCGTGTCAAACGGGCTTAATATATCAGCGCAACTAACAAATCCCTTGTCTATGCTTATCCCCAAGAATCCTCTCTCCAGTAAACTAGTGGTTTACTTGTAGTTTTCGAAAATACTCGTACTTTGTAAAAACAATCTTTATTCAGCTTAATAGCTTTCATCCTAAGGTAGGTACTAAACGTTCTAAATGACCCCTGATTCTCGTTTTCCTAATTCCATAAAAAAAAGTCAACGGACATCAATCTGACGAACCTGCTGGACATTCGGTGGCACTTTCTCCCTCAGTCCATTGTCCAAATCAAATATTGTTTAACCATGAAGGTACCTCTATGTGTTTAACAGACATTACAAACTGCGGAGGAGCTCCATCACATTAAAATATCAACGGAACTTGGAGATAAATGATTATTGATCATCATTATCCGTAATATCTCAAAAAATGTGATCGACAACGTCTTCTAAAAATTGGTCGAAAGTTATTTCGACAGGACTTCTCTCGCCCCCGAAGTGCAATGCCACAAATCCCGCTTTTTTGAAAAATTAAAATAAATCGTACGCATATGCATTCATTAATTTTATTGAGGCACCCTGTAGGTCCAAATCCAAAAAATATTAATGGAATGATAAATTACAAGTTCAGACTCATCATATTTTGTACATTTTATATAGGATGTATTCCGCAAACGTTTGAGCTGACGTCATCAATTTTTTGGAGAGGATAAGCAAATATATTTTGACTAAAAATTTATTATGCTCTTTCTAACCTTAAAACATCTGCAAGATTTCAAAGCATTCGGTTTAACAGATTCAAAATTAAATAGCAAAATTTTGTTTTATAATTTTGATTTTTTTTTTCAAAAATCTGGACGTTTCGGGTAAAAACTATTCGGTGTCATAAACTACATGTTTAGGACTGTGTTATTTTATACAATTTAAAACCCATTTGCTATGTACAATTTTGAAGTGACATTATCGCATCAGTGGTGGGGATGATTAGACAAATTTTTGGTTAGCGTTTTACCATCTACATGACAGGGGCGGCTTGTCCTATGAGGCAGGTGAGGCAGTGCCTCACCAATGAATTCTACGCCTTATTAGGATTTTTATTATTTTTTACCGACACATTTCGGCCAATAATTTGTGTCTTTTTTCTAAAATTTTAAAAACAAACATGGAAAATTATATTCTTATTTTTATCTCGGTAGGTACACGTTGCTGCCTTAATTAAACAGCGCGCTTCAATACTCCACACAACATGTATTTTGTGACGCGAATGAGGCAGACTCGAAGCTTGCCTCTACAGCAGATCCAGAAATGATGTAGCATTGATTAAATACATATAGATAGTCCCATGCTATTGTTTGGAGCGAACAGGCCAACGGCCGGCGAACAAGAGATGGCGCACCAACAGTCGGCCGTCAAACGCCGGCGAAAAGCTTGGACACCAATCACGCGCATAGGTAACACAAATCACAGCAACAATACATTTAATAAAGCTACCACTCGACAGAGGGCGACGAAAAAAATGTGTAAAAATCTCATAGTAAGCATTTATATAATTGACAACGTTGCCAGATGAGCCTAACACAAGTTTGCCGTTATTTCTAGCCAAGTAGGTTTTATTTCGTTTAAAAGTTTCTGATAAAGAAATGGAATTATTATAATGAATAAAAATAAATAAAACAAATTATTACTTGTTATTTTAAATACTTGTTAGCAGTGGCGGCTCGTGACTTTCTGTTGGGGGGGCAAAATTAATACACAGTATTATGCTAAATTTAAAATTTATGCTAGGTAAAAATTATTGTTTCTTTTTATTAAAAATTTAGAAAAATGTCAAGTTAGAGGTCCGTTAGCCAGAAATTATTGATTGAAAATTGATAATTGAAAATCGATAATTTCTGTTTACCATCTGGAACCACGAGGAGGTGGACCTAATTCCAGACTTCCCCAACGGTGATGGGGCGAACTCAAAGTTCCTTTTAAATTTGTTGACATAAGAAATATAAATAAAATTTTGTTAATCGCGTGTCCAGTAGATGCAATAGGTATCCCCCACTTTAAATTATTTTCAATTTTTTTAATTAATGTTTCTATATATAAAATCCATACGTCTTTCTTTGTTACGAACAAAATGTTCTATAACTAGTTCATTGAAATTCGTGGTTTCTTGCACTAGTTTTTTTTCTATTGAACACATTGCCAAGGCACACAATCTTTCTTGACACATTGTATTTCGTAAAAATGTCTTTATACGTTTTAACGTCGAAAAACATCGTTCGCATTCACTTGTCACCATCGGTAATGTGCAAATAATTTTCAATAATTTTTTTGTTTCTGAAAATACGTATAATAAATTGTTTTCATACATAAACTTCAAGAATGTTATGGCACCATTTGCTGTCGAAAAATCGGGATGATTATAAATAACGTTTAACTCATTTTTTAACACATTAAAATTTAAATCATATTTTGTAGCACATAATTCAACTTCTTTTGATGGAAAATTTAGTTGAAAATATGAAAATAAGCTAGTCTGAAACAAATTTGCTGCTGTAATATAATCTGCTTCTAAAAATCGATCATTTATACTAAATTTAATATTGTCACAAATTTCTTTAGCAATTGCAATTTTATTATCATTAAAACGAGACCGCTTTTTTGAAGATTCACCCTCTTCGTTTTCTTCTCGATAATAATCGTAGTCGATAGAATCTGTTACATGTTGTATGGCAAGTTTAAAAGAAGTAATGTTTTTCTGAAGTTTAATTAAGTCCATTTCGCGAATTTGAAGTTGGTTGAAAAGTATCTCGGTACTAGGCATGATTCTGTGAAAGAAGTATAACCAAAAATTAAAATCGTAATCTTCTAATGTTTTCCGTAAACTACTTGCCTTGGCAATTGTTAATTTATCACCATTTTTATCTTCCATTATAATTTGAAAGCAGTTAATCAAATCATTTTTAAAACTATGTACAGTATTAACTATTCGTGACTTAAAGTTCCATCTAGTCGGACAATTTCTTGGTAATCTTTTAGAAACGATATTATCAAGTATTTTTATACGTTTAGGAGATCTTGAAAAAAACGAGGAAAATGATTCTAAATTTGAAAAAAAAATTCTTACTTGGCTGTGTGCTGATGCCGCCTTTTCTATAATTAAATTCAACTGGTGAGCATAGCAGTGAATAAACTGAGCTTTAGGGTAATGTTCCTTGATTTTTGCTTGTACCCCATTTTGTCTTCCACTCATAACCGAAGCACCATCATAAGACTGAGATATAAGTTTTTTTGGATTTTGATTGATTTCAAGTTTTTCGAGCTCATTTAAAATAATACTAGAAATACAATCAGCTGTGTGATCTGTTGGATTAATGAATCCTAAAAATCTTTCAAATATTTTACCTTTCAATTCATATCTAACGACAAAAACCAGCTGCGACTGTGAAGCTACATCTGTAGTTTCATCAGCTAAAATAGATATATAGTCCGCTTCCAAAATTTCATCTTTGATTAAATTAATACAAACAGCATAAATTGAATCAAGTAGTTCGTTTTGTATGGTTTTTGAAAGACCCATAAAAACGCGATTGTTCGTTTTTTCTATATGAGATTTTAATGTAGTGTCAAGCTCTGCCATTAAATTAATTAAACCTCTGAAAATTCCCGGATTTGTAGAATCATGCGTTTCATCATGCCCCCTTAAAGGCAACTCAAAGACTCCACAAAATTTTATACCGTCAATCAGTTTACTTAAAATGTATCTATTCTGTTTTACCTGATCATTATGTTTCTCGACGTTCTCTCTATAAGCACTATTTAACTGATTTCTTATGTCTACTTTACCTAAGACTGCGAACGATACGTTGAGATTTAAGTGTTTTTTACTCGAGCGATGCTTTTTTACTTTTTCTCCCAAATGTTTTAAATCCGTGATTCCGGTTTCAGTCCAAGCTTTATCAACATCTCCGTTATTCATAAGGGTACATACAAAACAGAAAAGGGCGTTTTTCGCGTTGCAACCACATAACCACCACTCACTTTGATACATAGTCGGGCCTGTCTAATTTGCAGACCACAGTTTATCTTGCAGACTGGGGGTTAAAAATGCTCCAATCAAGTTGAAACTCAACATTTGCTTATTTCTCAATACGAAGATTGTTGGTATAAAATTTCAACCCGTTCGGAGAAACCCTTAAAAACCACCCCCAAAACAACCCTGCAGACTGGGGGTTAAAAATACTCCAATCAAGTTAAATTTTGACATTCGCTAGTTTTTCAATACGAGGATTATTGATGCAAAATTTCAGCCCATTCGGAGAAACCCTCAAAAATCACCCCTAAAACAACCTTGCAGACTGGGGGTTAAAAATGCTCCAATCAAGTTAAAACTCCATATTTGCTTATTTCTCAATACGAAGATTGTTGATACAAAATTTCAAGCCGTTTGGAGAAACCCTTAACAACCACCCTTAAAACAGATTTGCAGACTGGGGGTTAAAAATGCTCCAATCAAGTTAAAACTCGATATTTGCTTATTTCTAAATACGAAGATTGTTAATACAAAATTTTAACCCGTTCGGAGAAACCGTTAAAAACTACCCCTAAAACAACTTTGCAGACTAGGGCTTAAAAATACTCTAATCAATTCAAAATTTGACATTCGCTAGTTTTTCAATACGAGGATTATTGATGCAAAACTTCACCCCATTCGGAGAAACCCTCAAAAATCATCCCCAAAACAACCTTGCAGACTGGGGGTAAAAATGCTTCAATCAAATCAAAACTCGATATTTGCTTATTTCTCAATACAAAGATTATTGACACAAAATTTCAACCCGATCGGAGAAACCGTTAAAAACTACCCCCAAAACAACCTTGCAGACTGGAGCTTAAAAATACTCTGATCAAGTTAAATTTTGACATTCGCTAGTTTTTCAATACGAGGATTATTGATGCAAAATTTCAGCCCATTCGGAGAAACCCTCAAAAATCACCCCTAAAACAACCTTGCAGACTGGGGGTTAAAAATGCTCCAATCAAGTTAAAACTCCATATTTGCTTATTTCTCAATACGAAGATTGTTGATACAAAATTTCAAGCCGTTTGGAGAAACCCTTAACAACCACCCTTAAAACAGATTTGCAGACTGGGGGTTAAAAATGCTCCAATCAAGTTAAAACTCGATATTTGCTTATTTCTCAATACGAAGATTGTTAATACAAAATTTTAACCCGTTCGGAGAAACCGTTAAAAACTACCCCTAAAACAACTTTGCAGACTAGGGCTTAAAAATACTCTAATCAATTCAAAATTTGACATTCGCTAGTTTTTCAATACGAGGATTATTGATGCAAAACTTCACCCCATTCGGAGAAACCCTCAAAAATCATCCCCAAAACAACCTTGCAGACTGGGGGTAAAAAATGCTTCAATCAAATCAAAACTCGATATTTGCTTATTTCTCAATACAAAGATTATTGACACAAAATTTCAACCCGATCGGAGAAACCGTTAAAAACTACCCCCAAAACAACCTTGCAGACTGGAGCTTAAAAATACTCTGATCAAGTTAAATTTTGACAATCTCTAGTTTTTTAATACGACGATTATTGATGCAAAATTTCAGCCCATTCGGACAAACCCTCAAAAATCACCCCTAAAACAACCTTGCAGACTGGGGATTAAAAATACTTCAATCAAAGCAAAACTCGACAGTCGCTTATTTCTCAATACAAAGATTGTTGATACAAAATTTCAAGCCGTTCGGAGAAACCCTTAAAAATCACCCCCAAAACAACCTTGCAGACTGGGGGTTAAAAATGCTCCAATCTAGTTAAAACTCGATATTTGCTTATTTCTCAATACGAAGATTGTTGATACAAAATTTCAACCCGTTCGGAAAAATCGTTAAAAACTACCCCCACAACAAGCTTGCAGACTGGGGCTTAAAAAATACTCTAATCACGTCAAAATTTGACAATCGCTAGTTTTTCAATACGAGGATTATCGGTACAAAAATTTCAGCCTATTCGAAGAAACCCGCAAAAATCACCCCCAAAACAACCTTGCAGACTGGGCGTTAAAAATGCTCCAATCAAGTCAAAATTTGATATTCGCTTGTTTCTCAATATGAGGATTATAGATACAAAATTTCAGCCTATTCGAAAAAACCCTCAAAAATCACCCCCAAAACAACCTTGCAGGCTGGGGATTAAAAATAGTCCAATCAAGTCAAAACTCGACATTTGCTTATTTCTCAATACGAAGATTGTTGGCACAAAAATTTAACCCGTTCGCAAAGACCCTTAAAAACTACCCCCAGACAGAAGTAGAAGTGATGGCAGTTTGGGTATTAGTCATCAATTAGTTACTCATCAGGTGTGATAAACATGACAGATGTCAATTACGTTATCAATGATAATGGATTTTTGACATGTGTGATAAGATACTGCTCTTAATGGATTTTGTTTACTCATAATTAAATTTTTAATCGCGCTCGTAATTATAAAATTAATTTAGATGTATTAATGAATTAAATAAAATTATTGAAATATATATCTCCTCACTTATAATTTATCAAAGTAACGCTGTCTCATTTCCTCTTACATGTTTTAGTATAATTTCCAGCGCTCTAAGATGGCCATCAAATACATTTATTTAATTTTTAATAGCGAACGTAATTAAATTAATTTGATGGCATTTTAATGGCGTGGGTTTGGTGCTTTTTTTCGCCGAAAGTGCAGAGGGTCCAAAAGTGCAGCGGTCTGCTATCACCACTCTAGCAGCTCCCTTATCATCGGATATTGGTTTGTGTTTTCTTAAGTGCATCCGGTTGTTATTACCGATCCATCAGAAATGTTTTGAAGATGACATTCGTCATTTGTGCGGTACGTGAATTTTCCATTTTGCATTCTTTAGGTCTTTATGATTATGCACACAGTTTCTTAACAAAATATTGCAGAAGGGTCATTTTGGCACAATACTATAACGTCGCGAAAGTGCAGCGGTCTGTTATCACCACTCTATCAGCTCCCTTATCACGGGATATTGGTTTGTGTTTTCTTAAATGCACCCGGTTGTTATCACAGCTCCATTATACATACTATAATGTCGTTACGTAAAGCAGGTACAAAATTTCCTGTAAATGGGGATTTAAAACACTCATCCGTTTGTTTGGCAAATGAAACAAAATAACCATTACCACACCGACCCTTGAAGAGTTCACAGTCTTGAGCATTGCTGTGTCGACATTGTCAGTTGTTAAAGTCCGTTGAAATAAAATGGAATTTTCTGTATTTCTAAATAATCTTTCGGTCACTCAAATCCTGGGAATGTATTCTCAAGGGTTATTTCCCAATATAAATATTTTGAGAGTGGTTAAAAACCACATCACCGAAAAAATTGTTAACGGTAGTGTTGTACTTTCGCATGATGAACGAAGATTGTACGATCAGCTTATGGTCTCGTTTATGAAAGTGTGGCGTCGCGCCGCAGGCTGTTCGAAGGACCGTATAACCGTGTCGTACACGGCAAGAAAAGAGTGTTGTTTTATAACTATATATTAATAGTGTGTAAATGTATGTACAGTTTGTCGACCGATCGCGTGTACTGCGAGGTGCGTTCTGTCGTCCGGCTCCGTACCACCCCGGTGCCGTCGAAGGGTGGGTGGTGGGGTTGTACCGCTCTTGTGCAGGGCTGTACTGCGCATTCCGGCCCCCCTTGAACCTATGGTCTCAAACCTGGGTGTCGTCGTCGTTGGGGAACGGGCAGATGATGGTGGCTGTCCGGACGGCCACCATCAGGACATCATCGGGACCTGTCGTGCGGGCCACAAACCGAATCTGCCCGTTCCCCATCGACGACGACACCCAGGTTTGAGACCACAGGTTCAAGGGGGGCCGGAATGCGCAGTACAGCCCTGCACAAGAGCGGTACAACCCCACCACCCACCCTTCGACGGCACCGGGGTGGTACGGACCAAGACAGAACGCACCTCGCAGTACACGCGATCGGTCGACAAACTGTACATACATTTACACACTATTAATATATAGTTATAAAACAACACTCTTTTCTTGCCGTGTTCGTACCGTGTACGACACGGTTATACGGTCCTTCGAACAGCCTGCGGCGCGACGCCACAGAAAGGTAAGGTTTTTTATTTTTAATTTTTTAATTGATTTTACATATAGGTATACTTAATTTTCTCTACTTTACTAGGTGATCTGCGTTCTTCTAATGATAAGTCATGTAAAACGTCTAAACCTTTTTGCAATAATGATGACGATGATGACGACTTGTCTTTAATACTGGAAGTGATTGAGCAAGGTAAATTTGAACTCTTATTTGTTTATTAAACTTTCTAAATCATATTACGCTGTTACAGATTTGAATCAGAACAAAACCAATGACAGTCAGGGATGTTCGCGGCGTAATACAGCGAGTGAGTGGTTATTTGATATAAGAAATTAAATAAGGAATAATATTATTCTAATATTTCATATTATTTCAGCTAGTGATGGGTTTACAGCTCCAAATCAAATTGTTAAAAGGCAATCCAATACTGATGATGACGAATTAAGCTTGTTGTTGGAAGTTATAGATGAAGGTAATTTCGGTAAATTGATTAGGTAAAAAATATTAATTTAAACAATTTTTTGTAGATTTAAAGACTACAAGCGTTACCCGTAATAGAAAAATTATAAATGATACGAGCCTGGCATGTTCCGTTAAAAAGCAAGTAGGAAAAGGTGTCCGGCAAAATAGTGAAGTGGAAAATTTTACCTACTTTATTAAAAGAGGTGAGAGTGAAAACTTCAACAAGAAATTTTCATTGACCAGTCGAAGAATGGAATTTTCTTTTAAACCGTTGGGGCACCTCCAACAGCCGTTACAATGGCTTAAGGTGATTATGGAGAGTAATTCTATACTCATGTTTATTAATATCATTGATGGTTACAGCAAGCATTACGAGAACTGTTGGACCACATAACGCGAGAATGCGAAGCAGACGATATTGTGGGATTTGTTATTGAAAATGACGATTTTCCTGATAAACCTATTGGCATTTCGTTGCGCAAACGGTTCCAACTGGATGAAAATGTGATCCTTGCGGTTTTAGCGAAAGTATTCCAGAGTAATTCGTCTTTTTTTACCAATGACCGTCTACGTGTAAAAGTAGATATACTGAAATTACCGTCAGGTAATGGTTACAGCGCCGTCGATGGTAAGTGCGTAACGTTTAATGAATTTAGTATTCGGAAACATAGCGTGTACGTCATTACGGAGGATCAGTTTTGTCTAGCTGCGGCATTAATTGTAGCTATTGAATTTATCGCGGTTAAGTTCAACCGCAAGGCCTTACATAAAAAATTTGCGGGACATGGTGCGTTGCGACATCAATCTGTAGAGCTGTGCCGCAAAGCCGGTGTTGATTTAAGTCAGGGTGGAAATTACGAGCACATTCAATTGTTTCAAAATTATTTGACGGAGTATACGATTGTAGTGTACGCAAATCGAACTGGTGACACAAGGTATTTTGTCGGGGATATGTCTTCAGGGAAACCACGCCTAAATTTATTTATGGAGGGACGGCATTATAACGTTATACTAAGTCTAACCGGTGCTTTTTCAGCTAGTTATTTTTGCGAATTTTGCGCCAAAAGATATCAAAATGGCAATCGGCATCAGAAATGTTCCTATGTGTGTCCGTGTTGTCATGCGAAGCCTCCATGCGAAATTGCAAATAACACAATTACGTGTGCAGCATGTAACCGAACTTTTAGGGGACAAATATGTTTTGCTAAGCACATCTCTTTAAAAACTTGCAACAAATTTCAAAGGTGCAATGAATGCCACATGAGTGTATGGGTAACGAAGAAAAAAAAGCATGTTTGTGGTATCAAATATTGCATCACGTGCCAGAGTGACAAACCCCGCAATCATTTATGCTTTATTCAGCCAAATAAATCACCTGTATCTAAGAGTAGTGACAATAACAAATTTTTAATAGTATTCTTTGATCTGGAAACAAGACAAGAGAAGGCTTTAGGAAATAATTTATTTCTTCACGAGGTAAATTTGTGTATTTCCCAGCACGTTTGTGAGTCTTGTATCTCTGACACTATTATTTCTACGAACTGTGAATTTTGCGGTGAGCGTGAAACAATTTTTTATACTAAAAATCCAGTGAAAGATTTTTTAAATTATTTAGCTGACATGAGTAAAAATTTTAAAGTCACCGTAATTGCTCACAATTCGCAGAAATTCGATGGATGTTTCTTACTACGTGAGTTGTACTCTGAATTTTCACGTTGGAATCCGCAAATCATTAGATCGGGTACAAAAATTATGTCTATACAGTGTGGATCATCGTTACGCTTTATCGATAGTCTAAACTTTATTCAGTTGCCCCTTTCACAGTTTCCGAAAGCTTTTAATATTCAGTCAATCAAAGGATACTTTCCGCATTATTTTAACACTTTGGAAAATCAAGAATATGTAGGCCCTATGCCTGCAATAGAATTTTATGATCCGAATTCTATGAAGGAAGCCGGAAAAGTTGCTTTTCAAAATTTCTATGAAGAACAAGTCGCGAACGGTTATATTTTTCGTATGAAAGATGAGTTGATTAAATATTGCAAAGCGGACGTGAAAATCTTGAGAGAGGGCTGTCTAAAGTTTAGGGAGTATTTCGTTACAGCAAATAACGTCGATCCACTCTTGGAATGCATAACAATTGCATCCGCCTGCAATTTAGAGTATAGACGAAATTTTTTAAAACCGGAGTCGATACGCATAATACCTCGCGGCGGTTACAGGATGAATGACAAACAATCCACTATCGCTATAAAATGGTTACTCTGGGAAGCCAACAGTAATAATTTAGATATAATGCACGCAGGTGTAGGTCGCGAGGTGGTTCTTAAGGAAAATCTGCGTGTGGATGGGTTTTGCTCTGATAATCAAACAGTATATGAGTTTTATGGATGTTTCTGGCATGGATGTGAAAGATGTTTTGCAAATCAAACAGCGCGCTTGAGTGACAAAAATGATACCCTATTTTTTAGACGCGAAAATACAGCGTCAAAAGAAGTACGCATCAGAAATGCCGGTTATAATTTAGTTACAATGTGGGAGTGCGATTTCCGTAAAAGTTTAGAACAAAATGCTGAAATGCGTGAATTTGTAGGACATAATAATGTTACAAAAAAGACACCTTTAATTGCAAGAGACAGTTTTTTCGGAGGTCGTACTAACGCGTCGAAGCTATACTATAAATGTGGTGTAGGGGAGAAAATTAAATACTTTGACGTATGTTCGTTGTACCCGTTTGTTAATAAATACGGAAAGTATCCTATTGGTCATCCGACGAAAATTCACGTAAAACCTGAGGAATGCGCTCTGATTGATTTGCAAACATTTGAAGGTTTAATTAAATGCACGGTAGAACCACCTAACGACTTATACCATCCCGTTCTGCCGTACAGGTGTAATGGAAAATTAATGTTTCCGTTGTGTCGCTCATGTGTAGAAACAGAAAACCAGGACAATTGCTATCACCAATCTAAAGAGCGACAGTTTACGGGAACTTTTGTGGCTGACGAGTTAAGGAAAGCCATTGAAAAAAATTATAAAGTTATTGATATCTCTGAGGCATGGGAGTACAAAACTGTGCAATATGATCGTTACACCAAAACAGGTGGATTGTTTTCAGAGTATATCAATAGCTTTCTAAAAATTAAGCAGGAGTGTAGTGGCTGGCCTAGCTGGTGTGTCACAGATATCGATAAAGAACGATACATAAACCTGTATAAAGAACGGGAGGGTATTGATTTAGATCAAAACAAGATTAATAAAAATGCTGGTCTTCGCTTTGTATCAAAGATTATGCTCAATTCCTTCTGGGGCAAGTTTGGCCAGCGGGAAAACATGCAACAAACTCAATTAATTCATCAACCTAGTGACTTATTTGCGTTGGTAACAAATCCTTCAATTGTTGTTAACACTATGACAATTTTAACCGACGACGTTTTGTTGACGAGTTGGGAAAGAGTTGAAGAAGACATTGCCCAGTTAAAATCTGTGAATGTTGCTATAGCGGCGTACACTACGTCGAATGCGCGCTTAGAACTGTACAAATACTTGGAACAATTGAATGAGCGCGTATTGTACTATGATACCGATAGTGTTTTCTTTGTTAGCGAGTATGAAGGTCAGGCAGAACCACCCACAGGCGATTTTCTTGGGGATTTAACTGATGAAATGGCTGAGTACGGAAAAGATTCCTACATCACAGAATTTGTCAGTGGAGGCCCTAAGAATTACGCCTACAAATTTTGGAATGCTAACGAAAAAAAATACGATACTGTGTGTAAGGTAAAAGGTCTGACATTACACTACGCAAACTCGCAAAAAGTGAATTTTGATGTTTTGAAAACAATGGTCTTGGAAAACCCCGACTTTGAGGTGCAGCTCGAGGATCGTTCGATAATACGTAACGCTCAATATGATGTGCTTACAAAAAACACAACCAAAAAATACGCTATGAGTTATACTAAAAGGCGCAGACTTGAAGGTACTTTTGAAACTGTTCCTTATGGGTACAACGACGACATCTAAGTAAGCTTTATTTTATGTGATGATTTATATTTTCGTTAGTTGTAATTTTTTTTTTTTTGTGTTTATATTTATCAAAAAAAATATTACAGTGTTTGTAGACTTTTACTCCTAATTAAATAAAATGTATAAAATTTGGTTCAAATAAATAAATATTTTATTTTGAAAAGTATTTATTGAAGTTTTTCTTACAAATGTCATTATTTTGTTTAGTATTATCAGTAAACATTTTAAAAAACATATCTACACCATTATCAAGTACATAATTAAAAAGAAATAGAACGCAATACTTTCCGCACACATCAGACGAAAGATGCTGTATGTGCCTGGTATTAAATCCAATAACGACAATTTACTCTGAGCAACTTTTCCACGTTCTTGTTAGGCGGTCTCCCAAAACTATCAAAAAAATAACCAAGCCCGTTTTCGTCTACGTAGATAGCGGTCCAGTGACTACCTTTCATGTAATTCGGATCATCGTTGACTATGATAGAAGCTGGTCTACTTACGCGGAATGGCAAACGATTATTTGCAAATACACCCGCAAGTGATAAGTTCTTCGTCGTCATCATACACATCTTCTTCAAACATATCTCTAGGTCTCCGGTGTTCATTATGATAATTCATCATACAATTAGCAATGTATTTTGCACAAAACAGCTTTTTGTCATGTAAGTCGTTATTATACTCGTGATGATCACATTGAAGTTCTGTCGAATTGCTCATTAACTCTGCTAAACATGGAAATTCGTAGTCCTCTAAATTTAAAACGGTCTTGTGTGGTATGTAGTTTTGTAGAATTTCTTCTTTTGCCGACCCTTTTACAAAAATAACGTTCGCTTTTTTAGTATACTTCGTGAGTGTTTCTACCAACTCCTCGTAGGGTTGGTCGCCATTTTGCCACTTTAATCCGTGATGATTCTTAGTAAGCCATTTAACAATTTGCCGTTCGCATGTATTTAGTTCAGAAATATTGTGGGGTGGTTTAAATAAACAATGTAAATTTACCGAATAGTCTTCACTAATGATTGCCAATTCTTTGAAAACAAATTTTTCTTTGTTAAGAAAACCTTGGAAATCCACATACACCTCACTCATAGTGTTTTTCTTCGAAAGTGAGCTTTGAGTTTAAAATACACAGTTATATATATACATACAAACGTTTTTTTTCAAAAAAAAATTGTTAGCGCCGGTAGTGGGGTGTTAGTGCACTAGGTAGGGACTCGGCTGCGGGTAGTGGCCCTCCTCGGGCGCGGCGGGACGGGCGGCGGCGCGGCGGGACGGGCGGCGGCACGACGGGACGGACGGCAGCGGGGCGGGACGGACGGCGGCGCGGCGGGACGGGCGGCGGCGCGGGAGGACGGCTCGGACTAGCAATTGGTTGGGTAAAATAAATAAATAAATTTTATTACATATATGTTTATTAACTGCTATAATCTATCACAATATTTCTATTTTTATCTATTTCCATTATATTATCAAACTCTGCATATACTAAACAATTTACTGTCTCGTTCAAAGCTTCTTTAAAACCAACTTCTATGCGTAGATTCCCGCTCTTGACGAGATTCCAATGAGAGGTAGAACTTGCCGATAAATCAGGTGTTAAGTCGAAAGCTATCAGCGTATAACCACCATCATAACGCTGCCGACTATCTATGTCGATGGTGCCAAAACAGATAGTGGTTCAGGAGCCGGCATCTACTCCGAACAACTGAACGCACAAATTAGTGTACCTCTCGGCACCCACACGTCTGTCTTACAAACAGAACTGATGGGAATAATGCTGGGAGCTAGAATCATTGCTGAACGTGAAATCGGCAACAAATCAATACGCATACTTACTGACAGCAAGTCTGCACTACTAGCCCTGGACAGCTGTATGGTTCGATCCGGGCTGGTTTGGGAGTGCAGACAAACGCTAAAGTATATAACGCAGAGGAATAGTGTGGAACTTTGTTGGATCAAAGGACACAGTGGCAACGAAGGAAACGAGAGGGCAGATGAGATGGCGAAGCGAGCCGCGCGCATGCCCTTCTGGGGACCTGAACCGGCAATCACGCCTTCGGTCGCCCTCTCGAACGAACTCGTAAAGCAATATACCCAGAGACGCCATGAGCAGATATGGGTGAAGTTGAGCAGCTGTCGGCATAGTAGAGCTTGTATGGCGACACCAGACCGCAAGTTGACGAAATTTTATCTCTCACTTTCAAGGGACAAACTGCGTAAACTGGTAGGATTCCTTACGGGACATTACCAGTTTAACAAACATCTATATACGATAGGGGTGGTAACAGACCCAATCTGTCGTGGATGCAATGAAGAAGAGGAAACAGCTGAGCACATTCTTCGTGAGTGTCCAGCCCTAGCCTCCTACAGGGAATCCATACTAGGGGACATCTGGCCTAGTATGGCAAATATCAGGGAGTTTCCACCCTCTGCATTACTCAAGTACATTCAAGCAGTTGGGTGGCTTGACGAGTAGAGGAGCGGGAAAACACCCTGATATGGACTTGGGGAAGGTACAATGGGCCCAAAGGCGAGGCCTAAGTGCCGGCTGGCCACGGTCAGCCCCCATAAATTAAGAATCCAGAATCCAGAATCCAGAACGCTGCCGACTTATTCCATTACCTTCATTTAAAAAATGTATACCAGTGCCAGAAAACAAAGTGTGATACATATTAACAAAAAGTTTGTTGTCGGCCCCAAAATCCGGCTGGAGTGGTTTAGATGGTAGTTGATTACCGTCGACGTAGAGAGCCAAAAAGTTCATGTTGAAATGTTGAAAGTTGAAGGGATTAAACTTGTAATGTCCATTAAAAGCCTTATTGGTGACAAATCCTATTATGACTCGTTTTGGTAATTGTCCTAAATACATATTATCTAATGATTTTGACTGAATGCCGGCTGGTAATGTTAAAACTTTTATTTCCGTTCTGGTAATTGGATACTTTGCTGTTGTTTTTTCCAAAACATTCGTTAACGATAACATTACCGATGGATTTATTTTCACCTTCCTTATCATTAAAGTTGCGTCAATAATTTTTAATTTTCCACTGCTATTTGACATTAAAACAAAATTATCACGCGATCGTACCATTTTCACTCTTAAGTCTACGCCATTGAGCAAAAATTTTTCCTGATTAAAAATATCTCCGCGTAAGTGTCCGATAAGATCAATATGTTTACTACCGGCTGCAAATTCTTTTCTTATTTTGTATCCGTTATTTGTAGCACCCAAAATATCCATTTTTGAAGATGTGTCCCCATACCAGAGGGCACTACTTAGATGCGAATCTTTTGCATCCGGCCCGTAATTGAGTAAAGATTCAATATAGCATTTGTAGGCGTAAGTATTGTTTGGTGGTGAAATTAATTTTTCGTTCAAATAGACATCGACTTGACTAAACATCGAATGCAGCAAATTATTAACAGGTGCTAATTCGTCTGTAGCTGCCAAATCGGTTCCGTCGTCTTTTGTAACCTTTACGACTACATGAAGCATTGTATGAGCCAAATCCATAAATTCATCACTGCGACCGGTAATCGAAAATTCCAAAGGGCCATCATCTGTCAACGATGATACATTTTTAAAAGGTATCCAACGTCCAGATTCGATAGTTGTTTGAGTTGATGGTACGGCGAACAAATCTAGCTCAGACTTGGCACACTCGCACGAATGTGAATGAAGGAAAGCCATTGTTAATGAAAGATGTCACGAGGTACAGAGAAGCCCTTCTTATTCTTCTTCGCGGTATTGCTCTTGCGAACACTTGACACTTTATGATGTTTATTGGAAACTCTTTTCTTTTTTATAGCTCCCGAACCAGTCAACTGGCTAATTTTTTCGTCTGCTTTACGTTTCAGACTTTGTGCAGATTCAGTGAAACGCGTTTTTACACTTTCAGCCAAAGGTCTATGATTAGCTATGTCGCCTAAAATGTAAGAACCTGTCTTAAGAGCTTCTTTTCCCAACGTCTTTACTCCAGATTTAAAGAGAGGTGTTACACTTCGTAAAAGTCCTCTGAGAAAACTGCCGATTCCGTGTCCGCGCTGATAACTGGCTCCTTTGTATATGGTACCAACTCCTGACCCGGCCTGATTTGCGTAATATTGATGATATGGACACATATGCATTATTTTTCTTGCTCAGTTCTTTTTAAAATGCAGTTTCACGCACAACGTTCCAAACTGAAATGGTATTATATCACCTGTACTCGACCTTATATCAATTTGAATATTTTCAAATTCTCGCTTCAGAACTGGTACGTAGTGAGGCTGTCCGAACACGCGCGTCATTTGAGCTCCATATGTGTAATTATTGCTGTCAACCACCACAACTCTTAGTACTTTGGCGAAAACATCGCCGATGGCTTGAGGCTCTATTATATCTGTGTACACGAAAAGTTGTGACGGAATACCAAGTAAAATATTCGACGGAAATGTTCCGGTTCTATTTAATACGTTTGTCATTGGCTCATACCCCAAAATGAGGCTTAGCTTTGCGTTTAAGCGCAAGCTTTCTAATTCCTTTGTAGGACATCCAACACTTACTTTTTGAGTCATTTTATTAAAATTGAATAATTCCTTATCACGCACAAGCGTCTTGTTTGAATTCAATATTGTCAGAATGTCTTCAACGCTACCGTAATTTCCAGGTAAAATTTTATCCTTGTATAATATTTCCACCTTTTCTGAAATTTTACTCTTGTTTGCAATTATTTCTTGCAGCGACTTGTATTTTCCGCTTTTTATCATGTTTTCTATCCAGTGTTTTAACCGATCGTCACGAAAGCCTCTCTCAGGCATAGACTTGATATTTAAATTATATTTGAAATAAATACCAACGTCATCGTTTGAGATGTTAATTATCGAACATGGATATTGAATTTCTGTTAATGCAACACTCCACTCCCCGTCTAAATGAATAGATTTTGGTAATTGTGTACAAAAGCTTGTTGTCTTGTTTTCGGGAAAATATTTTATTGAACTGTTACTCAATAGAGTCAAGTAAAAATCGCGCGTCATAATTGTGTTAAACTGCTAGCCGGTATCCAAGTGTTAAACTTAGGAGGATAATTTTTCCACTGAACTAAAATTTCACAATTTCCTCTTTTATACCTTTTCTTTAATACCCTCTCAATAGGAAAAGTGGCGTCTGGCGAATAATTTACTCGCTATAGTTCTTGATGATAAAATGTGCCCACAATAGGTTCGTCCAGCAAATCTGAAATTTTGTAGACTATCGGAATCCTCTTGATCACATTCGTGATTTTAAATATTTCTTCGCTCCAATTGTTTTCATATCCTTTTTCAAAGACATGTTTGTATTTTGATATTCTTACATAATTTCCAACTTTGTAGATTTGTTTCGGTGGTTTGATATTTCTTTTATCGTGATAAGCATTGTAATATACGGTCAATATGTTGTCATCGTTAACATCTTTAGGAGCCATTTTTATTGTTCGATGAACGGTTGCATTGTACCCAGCGACGAAATTTTGAAGCATGTCAACATAACGATATGTATTTTTGTGTGTGAAATATTTAAACATTTTTGTTTTTAGAGTACGATTAAAGCGTTCAATTACAGCGGCCTTAACATCAGGGTTATTAGTTGTATAATAATTTACACCGTGACGTTTAAATAACTTTTGTACTTTTGCTGCGATAAACTCTTTACCACGGTCGGTTTGCAAGTTATTTGGTATACGTTCACTGCAAGAAAAATATCTTCAAACGCCTTTACGACCTCAGATGCAGTTTTTGTCTTCAGTTTTTTAACCCAGGCATATTTGCTAAACACATCGATGACGGTCAATAAATATTTTATACCGTCGTTATATTTTTTAAATTTCACCATATCGATAAGATCAGCCTGATAAAGTTCAGCTATGTTTGTTACATGATATTTGTTACGTTGAAATTTCCGTTTAATTTGTTTGTGCAGAGTGTATGCATTTTGTGAGCGCAACCAATTTTTGACCTGCGACTGTGGTTTGTTTGTCGCTTTACACAATTTGCGAACGCTTGAAAAAGATGCATTATGTTTTGGATTATAGTAAACTTCTTCTAAACTATCCATAATCTAATACTGAAGTTTTGACCACTTGATTTTACTTTTAGAATTTTCGAATTCTCGATGCTGCGTAGTAGCTGTTGGCGTTTCAAATAAAAGTTCTGGACTAGATTTCACTTCATCTGGGGATGTGTTATATTTAGTCTTTCTTTTACGGTTCTTTTGCGAATTATTTGATTTCGATGTTCCGACATCTTCAATATTATTCTGAGGCGTCTTGGTACCGCCAACAATAAAAGCGCGACGTTTCCAATTACCAATCACCTCAAACGGCATATTTATGTTACTCATTATTCGAGCAAACGACTGCCAACCCGTAGGGTCAGGTATATTTTGTCTATACCTCAATATGTCATTAGTCAAATCTATTATATTCGAACCATGAATCACGACACCATCAACCGAAATTTCTCCTTTTTCATTCCACTTAACACTACTCGCAGCTTTCAGTCTACTTAACAAAAATTCTGCCTTAGAACGAAAAGTCTTTGGTACACTAATTAGAATGTCATTTTCGCTAAGAGAGGTTGTCATCGTTTCGACCGTGTCTTTATTCTCATCCGTTACAGACAAAGCTATCGGCTTACGCGTCACATTAACAGCATTGAGATACCTTTGAAGTACTTGACTGTACTTGGTCCATTTGTCGTGATCACTTAATTGTTTGTTCATTAACACAGATTTCATTTCTTCATCTAGTCGCGATAATGTGTCAGGTAATGTAGATTTGATTTTTTGTGTCTGTTCATATACTTCGGGGTCGATTAATACCATCTTCTTAGCGTGCTCCATCTCTTGGTAAATTATTATTAATTATTTGTTGAACAAACTGCTTAGGACTCCAGAGATTACACTATGCAACACTAAAAAATTCACAGAAAGTTCAGATAGTGTTTGAGGTTGGGTATACTCCATATACTAAAGAAAAAAATGTTTTATAGTCATATCACATCACAAAACATAGATAACGGGTGTTTTGTTTTTCTTACTTAATGGGACACTTGATTGCATTTAATCGTAAAAATATCGCTTTTATGTATCCACCCATGTTTGCAGACTTCTGTTGGTGTCTTCACAGGGATACTGCGAGATCTGGCTACAATAGGAATGCCAATCGTTCGAAAAAAAGACCTTTTTCAATGAAAAATGAAGTATTGTTTAAGTAATTTTGTATGATTTCAAAAAATTCAATAAGCACTTTTCATTTTGAAACCTGATGTGATAGGTTGGGTAGCTATACTCCATATACTAAAGAAAAAAATGTTTTATCCTCATATCACATCACAAAATATAGATAACGGGTGTTTTGTTTTTCTTACTTTTTGGGACACTTGATTGCATTTAATCGTAAAAATATCGCTTTTATGTATCCACCCATGCTTGCAGACTTCTGTTGGTGTCTTCAGAGGGATACTGCGAGATCTGGCTACAATAGGAATGCCAATCGTTCGAAAAAAAGGCCTTTTTCAATGAAAAATGAAGTATTGTTTTATTAATTTTGTATGATTTCAAAAAATTCAATAAGCACTTTTCATTTTGAAACCTGATGTGATAGGTTGGGTAGCTATACTCCATATACTAAAGAAAAAAATGTTTTATCCTCATATCACATCACAAAATATAGATAACGGGTGTTTTGTTTTTCTTACTTTTTGGGACACTTGATTGCATTTAATAGTAAAAATATCGCTTTTATGTATCCACCCATGCTTGCAGACTTCTGTTGGTGTCTTCAGAGGGATACTGCGAGATCTAGCTACAATAGGAATGTCAATCTTTCAAAAAAAAAGACCTTTTTCAATGAAAAATAAAGTTTTGTTTTATTAATTTTGTATGATTTCAAAAAATTCAATAAACGCTTTTCATTTTGAAACCTGATGTGATACGATTCTTTCAAGTATAATCCTCAATTGAGTTTGAGGTAAGAAATTTTAACTACATACTGTGCATTCTGTGAATTTTATTTTTTTTTAATTTGTTGCATAGTGTTATCGGCGTTAACAATAGAGGTAGGAAATCACCACCCTTTTGTATGATAAGCTTCTTTCTCGATCGGAAAGAAACACCAGGTTTGATTAATCTACGAAGAGTAGTCTTGTGTTTGGAAATATTTACTTTTTGCGATTTCGTTAAAGGAACTTTGCCGATTAAAATATTATAAACACATTCGCAGATACTATGAATAAGATCTTTATCAGCCGATTTTAACAACGCTTTCCTGTAGTGTGGTTTAGTTTTGCATAAAAATTTAATAACATCCGAACTGTTTCGAACACTGCGCGACATTGTTGAATAATGAAATCGTTTTAATATGGCTTCGCGTATTTATACCCTTTTTTGGGAATGTAAGCATAAGACGGTTGTTCATCTGGCAAAATATTCGTACGCAGTCGGTAGTGTTCAGGCGTGCTCTGTTTTAAGTCGAACATTAAATATCCGTGAGGTCTATTGGTAGCATCGGCGTATGCTTCTTGTACGTACTTAAAATTTTCTGGAAACACTTGTCTTGCTAAATACTTAATCTGAGACCTATCTCTAGGGTTTTTGAAAAAAATCAAATAATTCGCATTCAACGAAATATCCCTCTGCCCTCTTCCTTGATGAAAAATATTTTGCGTCAA